AACTGCATTAAGTCATTAAGCAAAGCAATGCAAAGCAACACAGAGTCTAGCATTCCCATTTCCCTGGCTCTAGATGCCACTCCTTTAGGGAATTTCCCAGAAGTTGAGAAGACTGGTTGCGTGAGCCTTGGGTTGGTTTGGCACTGGTGACAGTGTGAAAAGAGCCTCCGCCTCCTCTGCTGAGCTCAGAGAAAGGTTTATAGTAAAGCCATTTGCAGGGGTAAGGGAGACAGGATCACATGATAGCCCAGCAACAGGCTGCCCTAGAATGAAAAGCTCTGCCCCAGTAGAGATACAGCCAGGTTATTCCGATTCCTGCCCTTGGAAAGGTCTACCAGGAAATCATGAGGGACTCATGTAGGACAAGCAACACGGAAGGCATCCAGAGAGGCCATACAGTTGGGGCTATGAAGAGCCATTAGAAGCTGAAATTATGAGTAAGCTGAAGTCGGGAGGAAGCAGGAACCTTGCCTACAGTGAAGCAGGAAGTTGGAGGTTGGGGGTTGGCAGGGCGGGGGTGAGGAAGGCTGTTGGTGGAAAGTGAGGGGATACGGAGAAGCAGAAACACCGGAATCAGCCAAGTTATACCTATGACAAGGCGCATGTGAAGGTGCACCAACTCTGGCTGCTGGTCTCAGAATTGCCCCGAATCCAGCACAGTCCCTGCTAAGCCAGCTCATCCCTCATCCCTGTTGCTGGGCTCCCACATGTTTTTGTCTCCTTTACCCTTGCATATGGCTTTACTATACAATTCCTTTCTCTGAGCTCAACAGAGGAAGCAGAAACTCTTTTCACACTGTCACCAGTGCCAAACTGACCCAAGGCTTATAAGACCTGTTTCCTCAACTGCTGGGAAGTTCCCTAAAGGACAGGGGTCTAGAGACAGGGAAATGAGAATGCTAGACTGTGTGTTGCTTTGGAATACATTGCTTTGCTTAATGAATTAGTGCACTTTCATGGAGGTCTGCCTCCTAGGGGAAGGGCAGAGAGCAGAAACAGAAGGCAACAGATGATGAGGATCAACTGACACTTTGCTCATGCTGATCCTTTCCTCTCACCCAAATCCCACCCACCCTTCATGTTGCCTCTTCCACCAAACCTTTCTCAGCTACTCCAACCACATCAGCACTGATCCTTTTTTTTTTTTTTTTTTTTTTTTTTGAGTCAGTCCGACTCTGTCACCCAGGCTGAACTGCAGTGGCAAGATCACAGCTCACTTAAGTGGGCTCAAGCGATCCTCACACCTCTGCCTTTCAAGTAGCTAGGACCCTAGATACATGCTACCATTCCCAGCTAATTTTGTGTGTGTGTGGTAGAGGTGGATTCCCACTGCTGCCCAGGCTGGTCTTGAATTCCTGGGCTCAAGTGATCTTCTAGACTCAGCCTCACAAAGTACTGGGATTACAGGCATGAGACCCTGACCCCTGACCTCTTAACTCCTATGGTACATTGCCCGATTGGCCCCAATTCTTCATCCCCTATATCCAGACCTTTTGTCTTTCTTTATGGTTCCTCCCACTAACTGGGCAGAGTACATTTCACCATCCTTTGACTTTGAGTTTGTCCATACAACTGGCTTTCTCCAATTACATAAGATGGAAGTGATGGTGTGCCAGCTCCAAGGCCTTTTGTACTTCTTCCATCCCCGAGCAACGGGTATGCCCAAGCTACCCTACTATTCCCAAGAGGAAGATAAGAGATACATGAAACAAAGCTGCCTTGGCCAAGCTCCCCCAGTTGAATCCAGCCTAAATCAGCCCACCTTTAAATGTCTGAGCTAAGGAAATGTTTATTGTTGTAGGCCACTGACCATTTAGGGTTGTTTGATCTATAGCTGACAACTACCCATAGTACTTATTGTGCATTTCCATACTTGGTGATTTAACAGCAGTGGATTATTTGTACATATGTCATTGTGTCTTTGAGCAGATCTCTCCTGGTTAAGACTGCCAGGTTTCACAAATAAAGATACAGGATGCCCAGTTAAATTTGAATTTCAGACAAATAATTTTTTAGTAGAAATGTGTCCTGTGCAATTTTTAGAACATATTTATACTAAAAATTATCTAAAATTCAAATTTAACTGGGAATTCTGTATTTATCTGGTAATCCTACTCCCAGTAGTGCTTGAGACAGTATAGATATCTTACACAACAGCTGTGAGATCATTTACATGGTCACCACCATAATGTTGGGAGGGGAAAGCCATGGTTCAGTTAAAGATTTGCAAAGACAGAAAGTGAACCTTGAGCATGCTCCTCTCCCCAGTGGCAAATCTACTCTGCATAATAATGGCGATCATGGTTATCTTTTGCCTAGTCCCTGTATGGGCAGTGCGTGGGCTAAACACGCTAATTTTTATTATACTTTAAGTTCTAGGGTACATGTGCACAACGTGCAGGTTTGTTACATATGTATACATGTGCCATGTTGGTGTGTTGTACCCAGTAACTCGTCATTTACATTAGGTATATCTCCTAATGCTATCCACCCCCCCTCCCCCCACCCCACGACAGGCCCCAGTGTGTGATGTTCCCCACCCTGAGTCCAAGTGTTCTCATTGTTCAATTCCCACCTATGAGTGAGAATATGCAGTGTTTGGTTTTCTGTTCTTGTGATAGTTTGCTACACTGGTTATCGTATTTAGCCATTCGTCTAATCTTTTTTCAAGGTTTTTAGCTTGTGATGGGTTCGAACATCTTCCTTTAGCTTGGAGAAGTTTGATCATCTGAATCCTTCTTCTCTCAACACGTCAAAGTCATTCTCCATCCAGCTTTGTTCCATTGCTGGCGAGGGGCTGCATTCCTTTGGAGAAGACGTGCTCTGATTTTTAGAATTTTCAGCTTTTCTGCTCTGGTTTCTCCCCATCTTTGTGGTTTTATCTACCTTTGGTCTTTGATGATGGTGACGTACAGATGGGGTTTTGGTGTGGATGTCCTTCCTGTTTGTTAGTTTTGCTTCTAACAGTCAGGACCCTCAGCTGCAGGTCTGTTGGAGTTTGCTGGAGGTTCACTCCAGCCTGATCCTTCCTCTGGAAGCTTAGTCTCAGAGGAGCACCCGGCATATGAGGTGTCAGTCGGCCCCTACTGGGAGGTACCTCCCAGTTACACTACTCAGGAGTCAGGGACCCAGTTGAGGAGGCAATCTGTCCATTCTCAGATCTCAAACTCCATGCTGGTAGAACCACTACTCTCTTCAAAGCTGTCAGACAGGGACATTTAAGTCTGCAGAAGTTTCTGCTGCCTTTTGTTTAGCTATGCCCTGCCCCCAGATGTGGAGTCTACAGACACAGGCAGGCCTCCTTGAGCTGCAGTGGGCTCCACCCAATTTGAGCTTCCTGGCTGCTTTGTTTACCTACTCAAGCCTTAGCAATGGCGGACACCCCCCCCCCCCCCCCCCAGCCTCGCTGCCACCTTGCAGTTTGATCTCAGACTGCTGTGCTAGCAGTGAGCAAGGCTCCGTGGGTGCGGGATATAATCTCCTAGTGTGCCATTTGCTAAGACCATTGGAAAAGCGCAGTATTAGCGGGGGAGTGTTCCGATTTTCCAGGTACCGTCTGTCACAGCTTCCCTTGGCTAGGAAAGGGAATTCCCCAACCCCTTGCACTTCCCAGGTGAGGTGATGCCCCGCCCTGCTTCGGCTCACGCCCCGTGGGCTGTACCCACTGTCTGACAAGCCCCAGTGAGATGAAGCCAGTACCTCAGCTGGAAATGCAGAAATCACCTATCTTCTGCATCACTCACCCTGGGAGCTGTAGACTGGAGCTGTTCCTATTTGGCCATCTTGGAACCTCCCGCCTCCTACCCTATGTAATTTTCACATCGGTGCTGCAACCTAGGGAAGTGGCTAAATCTTTTTAGCCATTTACAAATGACTACACTTTCCCTTGGTCACACAGCTGGAGAGAGTAGCAGAGCCGGAATTCAAATGCAGCCCTTTATCTTTCCATATTGCAATCCTGCTTTCAGCTACCAAAGATGTTTTGCTGCTGTTTTCACAAAATGGAAGATGACAAAATATATTCCCCAGCCCTCCATTCTACCCACGTGGGAGTATGAATGACAGGTTGTATTAGTGTCCTAGGTTTGCTGTAACAAAGAACCATAGACTGGTTGGTATAAGTGACAGAAATTTATTTTCTCACAATCTTGGAGACTCAACATCAGAGATCAAGGTGCCAGCAGGGTTGGTTCCTTCTGAGCACTGGGAGAGAATGATCTGTTCCAGGTCCGTGATGGTTAATTTTATGTGTCGACGTCACTGAGCCATTGGATGGCCAGATCTTTGATTAAATGTTATTTCTGGGTGTTTCTGGAAGAGATTAACATTTGAATTGGTGGACTGAGTAAAGCAGTCTGCCCTCCTCAGTGTGAGTGGGCTTCATCCAATCCACGGAGGGCCTAAACAGAATAAGGCAGACTGCTGGTTGAATTGGTGCTCTCAATTCAATTGCCTGACTACATGAGGTGATTCATCAGTCTCCTCCTGCCCTTGGACTGGGACTTCCACCATCAGTGCTCCTGATTCTCAGGCCTTTGCACTCACTGGAATTTATACCACCCGCTTTCTGGGGGCACCAGCTTGCAGATGGGAGATCATAAAACTCCTCAGCCTCCATAATTGCATGAGCCAATTCTGTGTAACAAATGTCATTTTGTGTTCTGTTTCTTTGAAGAACCCTAATACAATGCATCTCTCCTTGGTTTGTAGATGGCCATTTTCTCCCTTGTCTTTACATCATCATCTTCTTACAGGGACACCAGTCATACTGGATTAGGATCCCACCCTAATGATCTCAATTTCACTTAATCACCTCTATAGAGACCCTGTCTCCAAATAAGGTCCCATTCTGAGGTACTGGGGGCTGGGAGTTAGGACTTCAACACAGGAATTTTGGAAAAAGAGGGGGACCTGGTTTAGCCCATAACAGGGTTTGTGGAGCTGAGACTTATCCCAACACAATCTTCATTTTAAAAAGGAACCCAAGGGAACAGATTTCAAATGGTGGAATTCTGAGTTTCACAAGGTGGAACTCTAGTTTTTAAAGCAATCCTTATGGGCAGGAAAGGCCCATCCTGCAGTTCTTAATGTTAGCATGTTAGCACCTCAAAGGTGTCACACCCTCCACCAAAGGGGCCCTAGCAACTTGTAGAATGTAGGTTATTATGAGGACACGGGATTGTGATGGTGGCCAGGCTGTGGAATCTGGTGAGGCCAAATGTCAGCACCTCAAATGATGTCTTGTGACCCCACCTGGCAGCGTTCTGGTTTTCTGGATGGCAGCAGAGGACAGGGAGATGATGGAAGCCCGGGGTGCGGGAGAAAGTTGCCCAACCTTCCCCAAGATGGTGCCTGGTGACTCCAAGTCTGAAGGGAAGCCAAGGGCTTGTCTGGTAAGGGGGCTGCTGTGTCTCACTGACCCCGCCTATTCCGTCAGGGGGAGCAAGAATACTGTAGGAACACATGATAGGAGCTGAATACTTTGAGGTTCCAGACAGCTGCCAAGAACATCAGGTGACAGGTACCCCACCCCTGTAACTGGCACCCAGCTGTCACCAGGGACTAGGTAGCCCTCCATAAGATTGTGAAGTCACATGAAGATGGCTTTGGTCTCCTCCATCTACCTCCCCACTTGGGGCCCTTCCCTTGCTGGGTGGATAGGACCTGGCTCCCCACCATAGCCCTCTTCCTGGTCCCCAAATATTTAGGTTCTCTCAACTCAGACCCTAGGTTTCTTTCTCCCTCTGACTGATCTCAAAGTCAGGTAGAGTTGAGGATGGGCCCGGAAGTTGCCTCTTTGGTGATCTGAAAAATCACTGGGAAAATGGACATCCATCTACTCAACTCCCAGTGCCTCCACCTGCAACTTTAGGGCACCATTACTTGGTGCTAGTTTGTCCTCTCCTTCTTGACCCTCAGGTCCTGACAACTCCGGGTAAGAGCACTTCTAATAAGAATTCAGCCTAGATCTTTTCAATTCCTGGGGCTGCGGGAGTTCCATGGGGTCGGGGACAGCCCCATCCTGACTCCTTATAGTACCTCCTCTCCCTGCTTCCCCTGCCCCAGGAGGCAGAGTCCCAGAAGCCAGACTCCTCCTATGACTACTTGGAAGAGATGGAAGCTTGTGAGGACGGAGGCTGCCAAGGGCCGCTTAAATCGCTGTCCCCCAAGTCCTGCCCTGCCACCAAAGGCCAGGCAGGTGACGGACCCAAACCCGCAGAGCTGCCCCCGGCCCCTGGGACTGAGCGCAATCCCGAGATGGAGCTGGAGAAGGTGCGCATGGAGTTTGAGCTCACACGGCTCAAGTACCTGCATGAGGAGAACGAGCGGCAGCGGCAGCACGAGGTGGTGATGGGGCAGCTGCAGAGGGAGCGGGAGCGGCAACACGAGGTGGTGATGGAGCAGCTGCAGCAAGAGGCAGCACCCCACCTGGTGGGTGACAAGGAAAGGGGCACTGGGAGGAGGGAGGCCTGGAGCTGCGGTCCCTTGGGGCCTAGAGCAGGCGCCCACCTTCCCTGGTTTGCACGGCATCCCACCCTGCAGATCCTGGATCTCGGCTGAAAGGGGCTGAGCATCCACATGGGCGGTCTCCAGCCCTCTCTGTCTTGGCTCACTGACTTAAAGCTCGCTACTCTACCTGGCCAGCTCTGTTAAACAGAGCGTCCACGGGAAGCTGAGATGTGATTCTCTAAGGAGAGCTGAGGCTGGGAGGTGCCCCAGAACCACATCGCCCACCCAGCAGCATTTTTGGTAGCTTCAAGGAAAAGTCTTCAACGTTTCCTCCCTCTTCCACCGCTCAGAAGTCCTCTCTGCATCTCTTAAAATTTGGTGCCTGGAGGCTAGACCTAGAATCCCCACTGCAGCCTGGCCAGTGGATTTTGACAGAACCATCACCTCCCCGATCAGGGCTATGTTTATTCTGTTGGATCATACTGCCTTGTAGTCAACTGAAACAGCCATCTCTTCACAAGAAGTACACCACTCTTCCCTAATCTGTATTAAAGGGGGATAAGAATGCCCGACTTGAGATTAAATGGGACGTGAAGAGCTTAGCACAGTGGTTAGGCTATCGTAAGCATTCAATAGTGGAAGATGTTTAAAGCAGTGTTTCCCGGGCTTTAAAGTCAGAAAGTCCTGGGTTAAAATACCAGGTATAAACTCCCTGACATTGGGCAAATTACTGATTTCTTTTAGCTTTGGCTTGCTCATCCATGAAGTAGTACCTACTTCATAGGGTTGTTGTGAGGATTCAATAAGAGAACACATGCAAGGCACTTTGCAGTTAGCCCAGCACATTAAGTAGGCACTCAATAAATGTTAGCTATTACCATTTTTATGTACTCATGCAATTCACTTCTTGACCCAAATGCAACAACATACATTTATCATTTTTCAGTTTTATTGGGATGTGATGTATTAGCTGTGCTTCCCAGCTCTGAGTCATCCTCAGTTCTGAGAACGTGCCTTCTGCCTTTATCCAAGTCAGTCACTGCTGTAATTGTTGAGAAGGATATGACCTAAAGTAAATACCACTAAATGTCTCTCTATCGGTTGGCAATGTCTCATTAATCATCACCCTTGAGTTACATTTTATCCTGCCAACATTTCTCCACCTTATCCAAAAAATGGAGAGGCATTGTCAAATGGTTTCCTAAAATTAAGATATTATATCACCTATAGCATTTCCCCAATTGACTAGTCCCGTTTTTGTTTTTGTTTTTTTAAGAAGTAAGGTTGGTTTTGCATCATTTGTTCTCAATGAACACATGCTGGCTTCCTAAACAATTATCTTTTTTTCTGTTCACAAAATACCTGCTTCATTATATGTGAAATGATTTCACTGAATTCAGTCAAGCTTACCGAACTGGGATTTCCAGAATCTTCCCCTGCCCCCACCCCCTTTTTGAAAAGTCTAGAAAATATTTGCCTATTGCTTGGACTTTAGCGCACTTCCTAATATTCTTGAATTCTAAGTTCCATTTCCAAACTTGTGACTTTTCTCAGTAGCCTGGGATAAAATCTGTCACAAAGTGGAGCCTGAAACTATTTAAAGCAGATATGATATTGTAACTATGCCTTTGGCCTGTGTCTCCTTCCAACCATATTTATTTTCCCCCCTTTTTAGTTTGAAAATCTTTCTCCTCCCTGGATGAGATGAAAATCTTTGGTATATAGTCCTATCTCTATCTCTCTTCCGCTCAAAAAATAGAACATTGAAAGTATTTTGAAAAGTCTAAAGGGTTTCACAAGCACATTTTTTTAATGAAAGTCATAATGATCACCTATCAGCATTTCAGACTGAAACGCGCAGACTGCAAAGAGGTGGCAAAGTCCAGGGATCCAGAGCCATACTGAGCCTGCAGAGAACCGTCGGGTCAGCCCCGCCCTCCATTCCCATTAGAACACTGGATTGCTTTCTCTGGTCTCCAACTTTCCTAGCTATTCATTTTAGAGGCAGCATCACCAGAGTCATTTTCTGTCCCTTCAGTTTGGTCTAGTTGCCCTCACATTTTATGTAGCTGTTTCAACAGTAATGTGTCTTCATCCCCCAGCCTTTGGCAATAGTTTACAAAAGTGTTTACTTTTTGTGCATTTACTAAAAATTGGAGAGTTGACTTGACGTTGAAGCTTCCCCTCTTCTCTTTTTCTGGGAGGGTAAATAGATGGACAGACAGAGTTTATTGAACTAAAAATACCTCTTTGAGTGTGTTTCTAGCTAGTTTAGGGCATCTCGGTCCCTGCCACCTGGTGCTTTCCAAAAAATATGGCATGATTTTTACAAATATTTTTAAAAATAATACATGGGTTATGCCCTCTTAACTATGATCAACATAGTATCAGCTTTTGCCTTACTTATACATTGACGCTTTCTACAGTTAAAATGAAGACTGTTGGGCCCCAATTATATAGATTCAAGAAAAGAGCAACCCGCAGGCATAATTAGCCAGACAACTCAAGCTGCTTTCCCCCAGCCCAAATATTCTGAGGGTTTAGGGAGACCCCATCACCAATCTCTCAGCACCTGCCTCCAGGAAAGACCAAACTCTGGACTGAAGGACCATGGACTGACGCACGTGATGTGTCAGGACCCAGGGAATCGGAAACAGTCGTTTATACGCAAGGGACACTGTGTTATTGGGCCACTGTCCAGGAAACTAGGTTGAATGTCAGGGCACTGTGAGAGAACACTCCCAAGACCCAAGATCCAGATGTGAGGCTCTTGGAGTCAGAGAGAGAAGGCCCACGTGTGTGACTCCAATGGGCAGTACAGACCGTAAAGAGAAAGGAAGGTGGTGGCCTGGTGCCCCAGTCAGGAGGGATAAGGGCAGCTCAAAAAGTGAAAAATAATGAGTTCCTTCTATGTGCTAGTTGCCTGACTAGGAATGTTTCATTATCTCAGTTTTCCTCCTGTGATCTTTTATTTATTTATTTTTTTAGAAACAGGATCTTGCTGTCTCACCTAGGCTGAAGTTAGTGGCATGCGCTTAGCTCACTATGACCCTGAACTCTTGGGCTCAAGTGAGCCTTCCACCTCAGCCTCCCAATAGCTGGGACTATAGGCACACATCACCACATTTGGCTAATTTTCAAATCTTTTTATAGAGACAGGGGTCTCACTACATTGCCCAGGCTGGTCTCAAACTCCTGGCTTCAAGCAATCCTCCCACCTTGGCCTCCCCAAGTACTGGGATTCTAGGTATGAGCCACCTTGCCCAGCCCTCATGATTTTGGAAATAGGCACTATTACCCCTTCCTTAGGTGAAGATGATGACCTGAGGTCACATACAGGCAGGGACAGAGCAGGACTGAACCTAGATCTGCCTGGCGCCAACAGTGGCATCACCATCTCCACTGTCTTCTCTCCCCCACAGTTTTCAGGAGGCCTCCAGAACCTCCTGCTGCCCCAGAACCAGTTTGCCATGTTCCTGTACTGCTTCATCTTCATTCATATCATCTATGTCACCAAGGAGATGGTCTTCTTTCTCTTCGCCAAGCACTACCTGTTCTGCATCGTGGCCATTTTGCTCTGTTTGATTAAAACTTTCTGGTCATACTTCCAAGTGCTTTTGCTCTCTCCATCACTGGGAACCCTTGCCCCTGCCATGCTAGAGTGTTATCAGTGCATGATCCCAGCCTCCCAGGCACCACATTTGTTCACTTTGTGCCTCTGTTCAGTCAGAATCCACTCTTAGGAAGGGCCCTGCTGTCAGTCATTTACCCCTGAGAGTGAAGAAACATGTTGATGCCCCCTTATACAGAGCCTGAGTTCTCACTGTGGACACGATGCTTTATCCCAAGAGGAAGATATCAGATGTTAGCAAGTCAGGGAGATATCTGCAGGGAAGGAGTGTTTAGAATACCTTTCCAGAACCCTAGAAGTACATCATGACCAAGCTGGCTTAGGTTTCAGCACATCTGCTCGTGTTCATAGACCTCTGAGGGGTGGGAAGCCTGTGATCGGCTTGGGAGCGGCCCCCGCCCCCATCTTCTGCAAAGATGTCCATGTCCTAATCCCCATGAATACTTCATATGGCAAAAGAGGCTGAGATGTGATTGCGTTAAGGACCTTGCAGTGGGGAAATGATCCCAGATTATCCAGGTCGGCCCATGGTAGTCACAAGGGCCCTTGTAAAAGGGAGGCAGGAGGGTGTGAGTCAGAAAGGAGACGTGACCGTGGAAGCAGGGGCCGGAATGACTCGGGGCTGTGGGTCAGGAAATGTGGGAAGCCTCTAGAAACCAGAAAAGGCAATAGAAGGATTCTCTGCTAGAGCCTCTGGAGGGAGCCCAGCCCTGCCACCCATGTTAGGCTCCTGACCTCCAGAACTGTAAGAGAATAAGTCTGTGTTATTTTAAGTCATTAAGTTTGTAGCAGTTTGTTACAGCAGCCACAGGAAACTAATACAGGAGCCAAGACTCCCAAGCTCCCTCCAGCTGTGCCAACATGGCAGGATACCATCACCAGGCCACTGGCCAGGCCTCATTTAGCACTGGGCCTGAGCAGACTTGTACACAGCTGGCCTTCAGACAGCATATGGTTAAAAAGGAGAGGCAGTGAAGCTCCAGGGAGCCCAGCACAGGCCTAGCTGAACCTGGTGGACAAGGAGTATCCCTATCACTTGAGCTGTGTGTCCCCTGGATGAGGCATGTGGCAAAATAAGGGCATACTCCTAGGGGACATAAGGAAGGAGGAATTAAATGCCTGATTAGACCCAGAGGACGTCATTAATTCTACTCTATTGGAAAGCTGGACATGGGGGGAAAAAAAAAGTTGACACACACCCCCACCCCTGTACCCACCTGCTAATCCAAGCACACAGACTCCCAAAAATGCAGAAAAGCTAACCAAGGAACAAATACACTGACACAGAGATACAAAACAAGCATACAGTTGTCCACAGTAGAGAGGTTCACAGCCCCTCAAACACACAACAACCCAAAGGAATAGACTCTGAACACCAGAGGGCTCATGGTCAGGCACAAAGTGAAGCTGCCCCACATGTCCGCAACAAAGAAAAGGGGTTCAACTCCCCCAGTCACCAGCCTCTCAGCCCTTCAACACACAAACACTCCTTGCAGACTGTCAGCTGCTCTGAGCCCAGCAACCCAGCCATGATGGCCGGCTGTGCCACAGGACACTCTAGTGATAATGTGGCAAACTGACGAGGCTGGACACAGCTGTGCAATTAATCAAGTCTTTATTGACCCCTTCTCTCCTCTGGCATAGGGCTCTGCCTTCAGAGGGACAAGAGAATAAGTTTCTGTCTCATCGGCTCTTGAGCGACTCTCAGTAAAATCATGTGAAAAAATGCCTTGGGACTTCAGTGTCAGTACACATTATCATGCCATTTAAGTCCATGGTGACTTCTCATTTCCCACCCGGCGCCATATATCCATCCCCACTGACAGCTGCATCTGACAGGCACTTAATTTGGAGTGATAGAAGTGTCATTTCTCATTAAACTTTCAAGGATGGGCCATTGTGGTGTGGGTCACTTCCTCCGATTTTATTTGATCTGGGTTTCTGCCCCATGGAGTTGAGGTGAGAGAGATGGAGATAAGGATAGCAAAAAGTTTAAGGTCCACCTGTTTACCTTCTTAGAGCAGACAGAACTAGGCATTTATAAAACACACACACACGCACAAACCAAAAAAACACAAGTGCTATAAGGTCATTTAATCCATCCATCTGTTGCCAGGTAAAACTAGACTTAAATACATTCAGTTTTCTTAATCTTCAGAGAAAGTAAACTCCCCTGAGCAGTTAAGTGAGCATCTCATCCCACATCTTTAGCCACAGACATGAAATCTACTCTTCCCTATTGTGTTTGAATACTGAAGCCACTAGCCTTAGATCTGCCCTCTAGGAAAATGAGAACTACTCATGGTCAGTCCCCAAACTTAAAACAGATCTTCTGGTTCAAATGCAAAGCAGAAAATCAGAAGAGAGAGGGTGGCAAAGGATAGGAAAAAGGCCCAGCTAAGCAGTTATCAGCTGGGTAACAAGCCAATGTACAAGCGCCTCTTCAGCACCAGTGCTAACATGTCATGCGCCCTAAGTCCCTAAGGAGGCTATCATCACCAAAACCCTGCAGGTAGAAATGTATATCATCTCCGCTTCACAGCCAAGGATACCGAGGTTCAGAGAGGTTAGAATTAACCAAGATCATCCGAGAGCACATGTTCTTTCCATGTTACCCTGCTCCCAAGATCCTGCCTTGGGAGGATCTCACAACCTTGCTGGGGAGATGAGTTTAACACACGTGAAAATGTAAAGCAGCTATCAGTGTACAGACCTCAGCTATAAATGAGATCATAGAGGAGCTCCCTGGAGCCCAGGGTGACAGAGGAAGTCTTCTTGAAAGACGAGCTCATAAGGCTAGGTAAGTCCGAACAGGTGGAAATCAGGTGGGATACCTCACACAAATGAAGATCAGGGTGGGAGTGCGTAACGTGTATTCAGGAGAGAAGGGTCACACTTGCTCCAGAGAATGGTGTAAAAGGCAACAGGCCTGGAAAATTGGTTTGGGGCTAAGTTTTAGAGAGCCTTGAATATTGGTCTGAAGAATATAAACTTAATCCCTTGGGAAATAGGGAATACACTAAAGATTATAGAGTGGAATAGTAATTCAAAACAGATAAATAAAAGCCTTTCTCCTTCTCCTTTAATTCCTGGGGACCGCCTTCTTGCCTGGACCTTCCCGTTTCCAGACCAGAAACTTTCTGAGGGCCTGAGTTTGAGGATTACATTCAGCTGTAAAATAAATCCAGCCACAATGGCTTCACCAAATAGAGGTTTATGTTGCTCACATACCAGGAAGTCCCAGGTAGTCCGTCCACGGCTGGTGAAACTGCTCTCGAAGTCACAGAGTACCCAGGTGGCCCCTTCCTCCACCACCACAGGGCTCTTAGCCTCAGCCCATGGCGTCCAGCCTCGTAGTGACAAGTCGGCCGAAGCAACTCCAGGTACCAGGTCCACTACTCCAGGTCAGAAAAGAAGCTGCCTTTTAAAAGCTTCCGAGGAAGCCCCACCCAGAGACTTCTGCTTACATGCCATTGGCCAGACTAAGGTCACGTGGCTGCACCTATCTGTAGGGTGTCTGAGGTAGTAAGTTTTTTGCGTGGACACTCTTGCAGCCTCAAACAAAATTAGAATTCTGATAGTATGAGTGGAGGGGGGAGACACTGAATTAAGCAAATAACTGGTGTATCATCCCTAATTCCTTAGGCCCAGCTCCCACTCCCTTCCTGAGCTGCTGAGCCAGAAAGCCTTGGTTGGGTTGAAACCATCAGGTGGAGCACAGCCGTAGCCAATCTGGGCCTGGCCACTGCTGCACGCGGCTTTAAGGAAGAGTACTGCATACCACAACAGGGAGGTCGTGGGTTTCCCTGGCCACACACCTGGAGCCACTCTGCCTTCATCCTCCTGACTGCTGCCTGAGGCCTCATGACCTGACACAACCAGGGCAGCAGACTGGGAAGGGCACTCCTCTCTGTGCCGGGTGCCCTCAGCAAAGCTGCAAGGGGAGGCAAGTTGGACTCCAGAGCCCTTCCCCTTCCTGATCCCAGGTCCCACAGAACAGAGCCCGGAGCCAGTCAGGGGACTATGGTCAGCCCACAGACACCAACCTGCTAAAGTCTATGTATAAGAGATTGCACTCATTGCAAAGGACCACTAAGCTTCAGCCTAAATAATGAAGCACTAATAGTAAAGTTTCAGGCAGGCTTAGGGAGAAAAAGATGGGCGAATCTTTCCTGCTCCCTAAATGGAATATTGTAGGTTGCCACCCTGAGCCCAAGGACAGGATTACAGTTGGAGAGACTCAGGGGCTGGAGGCTCAAGGCTTGATTCCAAAGGCCACTTTCCTGCCATGTCTATTTCTAGTCACAAGTTAGCAGATGACTGTAAGCAAGGCAAGTCAGTTAAGTTTTCTAGACTTCATTTGGGTGACCTCTAAATTATTTAGACTCTAACTCAGAAAAAAGAAGGACCAAAGTCTAGAGATTGTTTGAGAAATTCTGATTTAATTGATCTGAGATGGCATCCAGAGGTGATTTGTCAGCCTTACAAGTGCCCCAGTTGATTCTAATATGCAATCAGGGTTGAAAGACCTAAATCCTTGCCCTTCAACGTGTGATCTGTGGATCGGCAGCATCTGCATGTTAGAAATGCAGCATGCCAGACCGTGCCCCAGACCCACTGAAGCAGATGCGGTTTGACAGTATCCCCCAGCCCACAGCAATTCATATGCATCTTAAAGTCTGGAGAGCCTGCTATAGGTGCTGAGACTCAATATAATCTGTCCTGGTCTGTCCTGGGCTAGCGCAGTGGCTCACGTCTGTAATCTCGGCAATTTGGGAGGCTGAGGCAGGAACCCAAGAGCTCAAGACCAGCGAAGGCAACATAGGGAGATCCCATCTCTCAAAAAAAAAAAAAAAAAAAAAAAACCCAGGTCCGGTGGCATGTACCTGCTGTGCTGTCCCAGCTACTCAGGAGGCTGAGACGTGAGCCTGGGAGGTTGAGGCTACAGTAAGCTGTGATTGTGCCAC